GGTGCGATTCAAGCAGTTCCAGAGTTCAGAGACATCATTTTGAGGTAATGGTTCGAACCTCCTTCAGTTTTGGTGTTGATCATTAGATTTAGGGTTTTCTAACCCCCTTTGGAGAGTGATTATGTGGAGCAAATGGTCCCTCTTCGAGTTTGTGTCTTGGATTTGGACTCAAAGAGGTCCATAGACCTTGACCCTTGGAGCTTTATGGACCAGTTTGGGGTTATTGGCCTTAGGTTGCCATTTTTGGGACTAAATCTCCTTTTGCTGCCTTGTTGTGGTTATACAAGCATCAAGTTTCGAACTTTACGTGACATTTATGCTTGGGGAGGCCATATATATGGTTTGGGGAAACAGATCTGACCGTCAGTAGATTTTGTGCATGGCATGAACTCGCCGAGTTGTTCTTGAGACTCGACGAGTAGGGTTAGGGTTTCACGTAAATTGCTCAGTGAATAGACTTGCCGAGTTAGGGGATGACTTAGTGAGTCAGGAGGGGGTTAGAGGACTGGAGTTCAAGGCGGTACTCGCCGAGTTGTTCTTGAGACTCGGCGAGTTGAGTCGGGGTGGCCCCGCGATTCCTGTCTAGTATGACTCGTCGAGCATAGGGAGGGACTCTACGTACCAAGCGGGAGAAAGAGTTAGTGGACATGTGTGTACTCTCCGAGTCACTGGAGTGCACTCGGCGAGTTAGGTCAAAGTTTGACCGTTGACTTTTGTTGACTTTTAGGGTTTGGTCAACAATGTGGCCTTTGGGCCAAGAAAGGGGTAAAATGGTCTTTTACCCTTAAGAGGGTGCCAAGAGAGGATTGAGTCTAGTCTCGAGAGTTATGTTCAAAAGAGCATTTTCCTTATGTGATAGATGGTGGCGAGTTCGAGATGAAAGCATGAGGATATCTGCTTCTTGCTTGCCAGGTGAGTCTTCTCACTATACTTTACCTTGAGTAGGTAAATAGAGTTATGTGATACAATGTTATATATATATATATATATATATATATATATATATATATATTGTTTGTTGCACTGCATTCTTCTATGTGATTTATGATGTGCATGCTTGCAGAGTTAGAAGCGGAAGGTTCCCAGAGTTAGAACCGGAGGGTTCACAGAGTTAGAACCAGAAGGTTCACAAAGTAGGGTCCACGAACCCACAGAGTTATAGCCTCGAGCGGCTAATATGTGTTATGTGTGGTATTTTGAGGAACTTACTAAGCTTCGTGCTTACAGTGTTTTGTGTTATGTGTTTCAGGTTTCTCTCAGGATCATGGGACGACACTGATTTGATTGTACACACCAGAGAAAGAGTCATGTTTTGAGGATCCTGGTTTATTATGCAAGTGAAAACGGAGTTATGCTTTGTAATTTGATTATGAATGAGATTTTAAAAAAAGTGTTTTTTTAGAATTAAACCATTATATTTAGATGAAAATTTGTTTTGAAATTTACGGTGTTACACTTATAAAAAAAATTATTTCTCATATTTTAATAAAATTTATAAATACTTGATGTTTTGTTATTATTTTTAATTATCATTATTATTTGTCTTTGTTACCCGTGGTTTCCATGGATTGTAACCTAGTTGAATGCAATATTTCATACTAACTTTTTTTTTTTTTTTTTTTTTTAATACTAGATGTGGGACTCATATATTACATGAGTTCATTTAAAAGAAAATTTAAATACAAAATTCAAAATATTTGAGAAGTTTGAATTTATAAGAAAAATAAGAAAAATATTGAATTATAGAAATTAAAGTGTTTTTTTTTTTCTTTTCAATTTAAATAAATGATAATCATCCTTAATAAATCAAGTTTTTTTTTTTTTTTTTTGCTACATGTCGTCTCCTCCTTTATTTGGACACATGTCATTTTCTAAAATTTTTGAATTTTTTATTTTTCACTTGTTATTTTATTGTATTTTTCATTTTATGAAATTAAAGTTTTACATTTAATATGTAAGATAATATATATGTAAGGTATTTATTAGAAAAGATTTATATATGTAATGTATTCAATGTATTAAAGCCTCATTAATTTTAATAATTAAATTTTTTTTTTCTCATTTTTCTTATAAATTTAAACTCCTCAAATTGTTAAAATTTTATATTTATTTTTTTTTAAATAAACTCATATAATACATGAGTCTCACACCTACTTTAGATAAATAAATAAAGGAAATTAATCAAACTTTAATTTAGTAATTTAGAAATTAAAAGGAAACTCCATTAATGAAATTGATATGTATTTCTTATTAGATTTAAATAATATGTGAAATTTAATAAAATAGAAAAAACCATAAAAATGACATGTTGAATAATAATTAATTTAAAATAACCATAAAATTACATGTGTCAAAATGAATAAAAATATGATAAGTGACAAAAAAAACTTTATTTATTAGGGTAGATTTGACAAAGTGTTTTAGATAATATTAATTTCTTGACTCTAAAATATATTATCATCATTATATACTTATAAAGCTATCATTTTTCCTTTCACCATATTCATTTGAAACTCCCATATATTTTTCCTTTCACCACATTCATTTGAAACTCCCATGACTTTTCAATTTATTTCTAATAATAATTATAATTTGGTTAATTAAGTTAAATAAATATCATTATATACTTATAAAGCTATCATTTTTCCTTTCACCATATTCATTTGAACCTCCAATATATTTTTCCTTTCACCACATTCATTTGAAACTCCCATGACTTTTCAATTTCTTTCTAATAATAATTATAATTTGGTTAATTAAGTTAAATAAATATGAAATCTAAAGTATAACCATACATAAACTAAATTTTAATATTAAATAATATCTTTACTTCTACTCGTAAAGTTATGTTTTTTTAACTTTTAACATATAATACTTAATTTATTAGTTTTAATATATTGTTGGATGTAAACCATTATCATTTTAAAGATACAATTTTGGAACAATTTGTATAAAATATATAAATTATTAATTTAAATATATAACACTACAGTGTAAACTTAAATACAAATTTTAGTTTAACTTAAACAACCCAAATAATATTTTGTAAATAGTTAAAAGTGATAAATTGTGGTGTAAGTATCATACATACTTATAAAGCTAACATTTTTTCTTGAATCTCATACATTTGAAACCTCCATTGTTTTTTCCTTTCACCGCATTCATTTGAAACTCCCATGACTTTTCAATTTCTTTATAATAAAAATTATAATTTGGTAATTAGGTTAAATAAATATCAAATCTAAAATGTATTTATTTATAAACTAAATTTTAATATTAAAATAATATCTTTAATTCTACTTATAAAATTATGTTTTTTAACTTTTAACATATTATACTTAATTTATTAGTTTTAATATATTGTTGGATGTAAACCATTATCATTTTAAATGTATAATTTTTGAACAATTTATATAAAATACTTCAATTATTAATTAAAATATAGCATTATAGGCTCAACTTAAATATAAATTTTATTTAACTTAAACAACTCAAAAATTATTTTATAAATAGTTAAAATTGATAAATTGTAGTGTCTTTATAATAATGATTGTAAGTTGGTTAATAAGCTAAAATAAATATCAAACCTAAAGTGTAATCATAAATAGACTAAATTTTAATTTTAAAATAATATATTTACTTCTATTTATAAAGTTATATCTTTAAATTTTAACACATTATACTTAATTTATTAGATTTAAAATGTTATTGCATGTAAACCATTATCAGTTTAAAGCTACAATTTTTGAACAGTTTGGACAAAATACTTAAATTGTTAATTTAAATATAACATTACAGTGTCAACTTAAATATAAATTTCAGTTTCACTAAAAAAACCAAATAATATTTTGTAAATAGTTAAAAGTGATAAATGCAAAAACTAAATTGTAATATCAGTTTAACTAAAATATTCCCTAAACATATTTATATAATCATTAAAAAATTTCAAATAAGTAGCTTAAAATAACTTATAATAACAATAATTAAAAATAACTCTATATAAATGATTATATTGTTACCTTTAAAATTAAAAAAATAATGTTTGATGTTTTAAATAATTATAATGATAGAAATTAAAATATTAAGCAAATAAAATTTAAAAAATTAGTTAAAGATAACGACTATAAATAATATTAAACCATATGTAGTATTTAATTTTATTGATGTGTAACTCGCGAGTAGAAGTTATTCAAACGATTGAGATTATGACATTATAGTAGATCTATATATTATCATATAATTCAAAATAATCAATATATTATATCAAATTAATATACAAATTATTATATAAAATTTAAAAACAACGTTAGTGTTATATTTAAAAAAATATATATTTGTAAAGACTTCAGCTATATATGTGTTTCTGCGCATTATAATATCAACTCAAATATAAATTTCAGTTCCATTTAAAAAAACAAAAGAATATTTGTAAATACTTAAAAGTGATAAATTATAGTGATAAAAGCAAAAATTAAATTGTAATCTCAATTTAACTAAAATATTTCTTAAATATATTTTTATAATCGTTAAAAGTTTCCAAATAAGTAGCTTAAAATAACTTACAATAACAATAGTTTAAAACAACTCTATATAAATAATTATATTGTTAGCTTTAAAATAAAAAAACAATGTTTGATATTTTAAATAATTATAATGATGGAAATTAAAACATTAAGCAGATAACTTTTAAATTAATTAACAATAAAAACAACTATAAATAATATCAAATCATATATTATATTTAATTTTATTTATGTGTAACTCGCGGGTAGAAGTCATTCAAACGATTGAGAGTATAAAGTTATAATAAATACATATATTATCATATAATTCAAAATAAACATTATATTATATCAATTTAGTATATAAATTATTATATCAAATTTAATAACAACTTTATTGTTATATTTAAAAATTAATATACTTGTAAAAACTTTGGGCATTCGCCTAATATAGTATAATATACCATAATAGTAAAAACAAGAGGCGGTGGTATAAGGTATGGTTTGAAAACTGAAATATAGTGACGATGTCGTTTCAGAGTTGATGACTTTATTTCGCTTCTTTAACAGCTCTCCTACCCTCCTCGCAAGAAATTGGCGGCAACCATTGACGGAATCGTTAATCTTCGAACGAGAATATGGGTGTTCACGGTCTTTGGGATCTGTTATCTCCCGTTGGTCGTCGTGTCTCAGTTGAAACCCTCGCCGGCAAAAGACTCGCGATTGGTCTCTCTTTCTATCTGCCCCGCCTATTCATATCATAAAACATGTGTCTACGGACTGAGATAGTTGATTTTCCAGTTCTCATTTTATGTTTAATTTTTCATGCGTTACTTTTACAGATGCGAGCATATGGATGATACAGTTCATGAAGGCGATGCGAGATGAACGCGGAGAGATGGTGAGGAATGCGCATATATTAGGGTTTTTCCGACGAATTTGCAAGCTATTGTTTCTTCGTACCAAACCAGTCTTTGTTTTTGATGGTGCCACGCCTGCTTTAAAACGGAGAACCGTAATTGCACGTCGCCGTCAGCGTGAGAATGCTCAAACTAAAATCCGAAAAACTGCTGAAAAGTTGCTTCTTAATCATGTGAGTTATTGGTCGATATTTTTCTTTTTCAGCATTTTCCATTATGTCAAACGGGAGATTCACAAGGACTTATATCTAACTACAAAATGCACATCTTTTTTTGGAATGAAGGGGCTAAATTTAAGTTCACACGATTTATTTAGCTAAATTTTGGTGCTTTCATCTAAAATGATTGTATTCTGATTGGCTATAGCTCAAGGCAATGCGGCTGCAAGAACTGGCAAATGATTTGGAGAACCAGAGAAAACAAAACGGGGATAAGGGCAAAGGGGTGATCACAGACAAAGCTGACCTTGCTGGGACTACTTCAAAAACGAATCCACCAGATACAAAAGGTTTTGATCAAGAAGCTTTAGATGCTATGTAAGAACATCTATGTTCTTATTATATGCATTTATATAATAGGATGGACCTATATGACGCATATTTTTGTGGTGGTTACTGGTTAGGTTGGCAGCATCCATTGAGGCGGGGGAAAACGGAGGTATCATAGGTGATGCATCAACATCTAGTGCTGGGGTTCTTGCAGAAGATGAAGATGAAGATGACGATGAAGAAATGTTACTTGTAAGTTATCAATCTCATTGTTTTTTTGTTGGTGATTCTGTACTATATACCATTTCATCTATATGATTGTTCTTTCAGCCAACACTTAATAGAAAAGTTGATCCTGCTGTTTTAGCTTCTTTACCACCATCTATGCAACTTGATCTTCTTGGTCAAATGAGAGAGAGGTTGATGGCAGAAAACAGACAGAAGTATCAAAAAGTCAAGAAAGCCCCTGCAAGATTTTCCGAATTGCAAATAGAGTCTTATCTTAAAACAGTTGCCTTCCGTAGGGAGATACATGAAGTCCAGAAAGCAGCTGGTGGGACAGGAATTGGTGGCGTTCAGACTTCACGAATAGCATCCGAAGCAAATAGAGAATTTATATTTTCATCTTCTTTTACTGGGGATAGGCAATCTCTTGCATCTGTTGGAGTGGAGGCAAACAACAATGTGAAAAGCCAGATGTCAACACAGCATTCGTCTACAGGTTCTGTGAATGGTGTTGAGTCAACTAATAAGTCAAACAGCACAATCGAGTCTTTCATTAATGAACCCAGAAAGGGATTTAGTGAAGATGTTGAGACATATAGAGATGATAGGGGAAGAATACGGGTTAGCAAGGTGAGAGCTATGGGAATTCGTATGACTCGTGATCTACAAAGGAACTTGGATCTAATAAAAGAGATTGAACATGATAAAGCTAAACCAGTTGGAATGTTTAATGACAGAATTACCCCTTGTAAAGAAACAGAATTCCCAAGTGAACTTCTTGAAAAATCAAACCTTTCCAGTCCTTCATATCAGGATCCATTTGTTTTCCCCAACAAAACAAACTTGGAAACTGTCCCAGTTAATGGAACTTCATTAGAGGTGTCTTTTGAGTATGATAAAGAGCAGCAATTTGTAGACAGTGATGATGATGTATTTGCTAGTATTGTGGCTGATAATAGATCTTCACCAAAGCAACCTGTTATAAACCTTTCAGATGGTGAATGGGAAGAGGGAATGCCTGGAAATTTAAAAGGAGAGAAACCTGCTGATTGTTGTGGTGATGAAAGTGAAGTGGAATGGGAGGAAGGACCTTCTGGTAATTTTGTGTTGGGCTCTGTAAGTGAAGTTGAACACAAGGAAACTGAAGTAGAATGGGAGGAAGGACCTTCTGGTAATTTTGAGTTGGGCTCTGTATGTGAAGTTGAACACAAGGAAACTGTTTCAAAAGGTGAGTTACTGGAGGAAGCAGATTTTCAGGAAGCAATTAAACGTAGTATGGATGATATGAGGTGTGCGAAAGATATTGATACATCATCATCATCATCACCTGAAGAGTTTCAAGATGACAAAACAATAGATGCCCATGATTCTCCCACTGCACAGTTGGAGACAACTACCTTAAATGATCCAAATATGATCAAAGTTCAGATGACAACAAAATGTCTCCCTGAAGTTTCCAATAAAGATGCGAGTGATGATTGTAATTTTCAAGGAGAAACTGGACATGTGGATATAGTGAATCCAACCAAAGAAAGTGGAGTTGAATTGAGTAATGAGCAGCATGAGGATAATTCTAGAGACGATGATGATGTCACTATAGTTGATGGTCAACAACATGAGGTCAAATCTCTTGTCATTGACCAAATTCTGGAGACAACAAAACCTGAATCAACTTCTGTTAAGGAATCAAAATCTGACTTTGATATTGTGCAGAAGGATCCCGAGGGAAGGGATAGTAATGCTTCTTATGAGCAAAGGAACGATGATGTCAGCAATTTTGTTTTGAGTGACATGATTGAAATCACAAAGGCTAATTTGGAGGAGGAAATGACAAATTTAACCAAGGAGCGTACGGATCTGGGTGATGAACAAAGAAGGCTTGAGCGCAATGCAGAGTCTGTGAGTGGCGAAATGTTTACAGAATGCCAGGTAAGCACAATATTTATAAAAAAAAAAAAAAAAACTCTTTTAAGATGCTTTTAGACCATTAATTCCATGTACATTGATTGTAGGAACTTCTTCAAATGTTTGGTTTGCCATATATCATAGCTCCAATGGAGGCTGAAGCTCAATGTGCATACATGGAACTCGAAAACCTTGTTGATGGTGTGGTTACTGATGACTCTGATGTGTTATTGTTTGGGGCACGAAGTGTTTACAAAAACATATTTGATGATAGAAAATATGTGGAGACATACTTTATGAAGGTATTATAAAGACGTTGTATGCATTTTTTTATTTATTAATATTTTTTTTTAAACTTATCTGATGCCTATAATTGGTTCTTTCAGGACATTGAAACAGAGCTTGGGTTACCACGAGAAAAGTTAATCCGCATGGCAATGCTCCTTGGGAGTGATTACACAGAAGGTATCAGGTAAGATACTGTTTTAGGTATTAATGTATTATGGTTGTTTTTTTTTATGGATTCCATTTGTGCAATTCTGTAGTGGAATTGGAATTGTCAATGCTGTTGAAGTCCTGAATGCGTTTCCTGAGGAAGATGGTCTTCATAAGTTTCGTGAGTGGATAGAATCACCAGATCCAAGTATCCTTGGGAAGGTTGGTGGTAAAAGGGCGAAACGGTCAAATGGTAATGCTGGAGAAGCAGATCAAAATGTTTCAAAGCCTGATGATGACATGGACATGATGAAGCAGATCTTCATGGAAAAGCATGTAAAAACTTGCTTCAGACTATTATTTTCATGACGCTTTTGCCCTTATCGTTGAATTTTTTTTGTTTGAACTTTCAAATGCAGAGAAACGTGAGCAAAAACTGGCATATTCCTTCTACTTTTCCAAGTGATGCAGTGATATCTGCATATGCATCTCCACAAGTAGACAAATCAACAGAGCCATTTTCATGGGGAAAGCCGGATCTTTTTGTTCTTCGCAAGTGAGTTGATTGATTCTGAAACGTTTTTGTTGCTAATGTGAATGACAGTTTTTAATGATTTTTGTTTTTTTGTTTTTTTTTACATTTGCAGATTATGTTTTGAAAAGTTTGGATGGGGTACCCAGAAGGCAGATGAGTTGCTACAACCTGTTCTAAAGGAGTACAACAAACACGAGGTCCTTTATCTTTTTCATTGTTTTTTTTAATTAGATCTTTTAGTGTGTTTGATGTATGAGGAAACCAATGATGAATTGATAATGCAGACTCAATTGCGATTGGAAGCATTTTACACTTTCAATGAGAGATTTGCAAAAATTCGTAGCAAGAGGATAAGTAAAGCTGTGAAGGGAATAGCAGGGAGCAAAGCATCAAAGTTGATAGATGAAAATGAGGAAGATAAACCCAGTAGAAAGAAGAGAAAGAAAGTGAAGCTTGAAGAGGGTAAAGATGATATAGAAACAGATCAGCTTCCAATTCAAGAGGAACACAGAAAGAACATCAAAGGGTCAGGTGTAAGAGGCAGAGGGAGAGGAAGAGGTCAATCAGTAAGGAAAAATGAGAACAATTTGGAACAATCTGGAACAAGTTCTGATGATGGAAACAATAGTGACTACATGCAAGAAACACATGATGAACATTCAACAGGACAGCATGAAATACGAAGGGTAAGCTATACTGTTCTTGATCACTTGTGTTTTTTTTTTTTGTCTTGTGAAGTGTCATTTTTGATTAATTTGTGTGGTTTTTATCAGTCAAAACGTGTTAGGAAGTCGGTGATACCCATGAACAATGAAGACTCTGAAATGGATGAGCCTAGAACACAAGAAGATGTTGGAAATGTAGTAGAGCCTTCAAAGGAGGAAGAGACCTTGGTCACATTATCAGTTGATGAGGCTGAACTGGTTAAAGATTGGTGTCAAAATGATGAAAACACCCCTGAGGCGGAATTATCTAACGAGTACCTTAAAATGGGGGGTGGGTTTTGCTTGGATGAGGACGAGGGAGATAAGGAGCCTGGAGAATCTGCTTGCAGCCCAACTCAAGTATTGAATGAACCATCCCATGAAGTAGGGGCAGAAGCATCCATTAGCCAAAATGTGTCACAGGTGAACATTGAAGAAGATGAAGATGAGATGAGACCTGTAAGTTTCTTGTCTGGTATACCTAACTTGAGGAGAAAGAGAAAGAAAGTATGAGCCATGAGTTTATTGTAATTTTAGTCAAAACATTGACATTGGAAGTACAAACACTAAATTACATAACGAAAAAAAAAAAAATCAAGTGATTCCGACTTTACATGTGTGAGTTATGAACATTTTAAAAACGGGACAGATTCCAAAAAATAAAAACAAAATGTTGAAACAGAAAAATGTGTTTGTACACTATAGCTGATTCAATATTTAACAAAAATGTGTCTGTACAGTCTAAAATGAAATACAAACACCAAATTAAATGCTAGAAAAAAAACTAAGTAATTTCAACGTCATATAAACGAGTTATGCATATTTAAGGAAACATGATAGATTAAAAAAAAAACAAAATGTTGAAATAGAAAATATGTAGTATTGATATTCTTTCTTTCCGGGCATGTGTCTGATTTAATATTTAACAAAAACATATGTGTGTACGGTAAAAAATGAATTATAAACTCCAAGTTACATATTGAAAAAAATCAAAATAAATTATAAACTCCAAATTACATGTTGGAAAAAATCAAATAAGTCTGATTTCATATGAATGAGTTATGTGCATTTTAAAAAACGGAAAAAATGTGAAACCAGTTCCGGTTTTGCCTGGACCGGTTTTCATAAAAATAGAGAACCGGTAACCGGACCTTATTACCAAATTTGGTTCCGGTTCTGGTTCTGGTTCGATTCTAGTTAGGTTCCGGTTTCATTTCAGTTTCGGTCCAATTCCGGTTCAGACAATTCTAATGTTTATCCCTATAATGACAATATGTATAAAAGGTTTTTGATGACCGAGTTTTTGATTTTGCTATCACGAGTAAATTAAATAAATGAATAACTATTATAACATGGATATATTATAACATGAATAGTCCCTATGGTTTGGGGTAATTTGCACGTTTGGTCCCAAACTTCTATTTTTAATTCGGACCGTTCCTATTGTATTTTTTTATTGCATGTTTGGTCCCTACCATACTTAAAAAGACTATATTATCCGTGTATATTTCTCTTTTAATTAATTTGATGTTTAGTAATTATTTTTTATTAAAGAAATCAGCTTATAAACTATTGGGCCTACTCATAC